GAGGTGGATAAATGGGGGAATGGTGGAGGCACTGACTTTTCAGACCTGTAGGGTAATAGGCTAGGTGGGTGAAGTCCTAAACTGATTCCTGGTGTTAGCATGACTTTCAGGACTGGGAGAACCAACTGTGATTTGTTATAAAAGCAGAAGTCTGTCTATTCAGAGAGCAGGATGATACTTACATATGTAACAGACTTCGGTAACAGTTGTGAATAGTCAGTATTCTATGCACATAGAAACTGTAATCTCTAACTCATTTTTTCCGTTCTAACAGGTAGGAAAGTAAATTATTCAGAGAAATTGCTAGAATCTGTGTGATCCATCCGTAGCAGTTCAGTTTCCAGAGACCAAATAATTAGCTCTCTGCTCAGAAAGAATCTCAAGAAATATAATAACTGTCAGGCTTGTCTTAAATAGCTTCTCTCCTTGGCAAAACAGTATTTGGTCTCTCCAAAGACCAGGGAGTAAAATGCGTTGGCCGTGGTATTTGTTTTCAGCAAATGTTTCTCATGTATCAGGGTCATTTGGGGATTGGGTGTATGTTTGTTTGTTTGTGGGTTTTTTTTTTTTTTATGATATGCTCTTGGGCTTTCTGCTTCTCCTTCTGTGTCCCACTTAGGAAACTGGAAGGTACACATCACTTCAATGTGAATGTTTGGAGAGGGGTACTGTATGATGGAATGACTTTCATCAGTCCCAGTGTTGGTAGAAGTGGGCCAGTTTGCATTCAGAATGTCAAACTGCAGTTGCTAGCAATGATAAATCCTCATGACTGGTTCAGACTGTTACAGGCAGCATGCCCTTTTGCAGGCATCAAATTCAGGTGCAGGCTGAACTTGCCCTCATTTTTGCATGCTGGAAATTTCCAGTTGGGATCCGTGAGTCTGTTTCAGGCCTGCAAATGTTGCAGTTTGTGTTTGTCAAGAAAGATAGTAATCTACAGTTATGCTTTGATGTGTAATGCTGTAGCAGTGTAAATCTGGACCAGTGTTATTAGTTTAGCTTTTTACCTCAGCCTCCATTTACTTTCTGAATCTTACTGTTTTAGAGAATATCTTCTCCAGTGAACTCTCTTACAATGCTGCCTCATGAATGGGTTTTAGAGCCCTAGAATCCCAGACTGGTTTGGGTTGCAAGGGACCTTAAAGCTCGTCCAGTCCCAACCCCTGCCACAGGCTGGGACACCTTCCACTCGAGCAGCTTGCTCCAAGTCCCATCCAACCTGGCCTTGAACACTGCCAGGGATGGGGCAACCTCAGCTTCTCTGGGCACCCTGTGCCAGCGCCTCAGCACCCTCACAGGGAAGAATTTCTTCCTAATGTCTGATCTCAATCTCCCCTCTGCTAGTTTAAAACCATTCCCCCCTTGTCCAGCTCAGAAGACAGTTAAAGGTGTCCACAGAGCATTCTCTTCTCCAGGCTGAACAAGTCCAGCTCTGTCAGCCTGTCTCCAGACCAGAGTTGCTCCAGCCCTCAGAGCATCTTCATGGTGTCCTCTGGACTCCCTCCAGTAGCTCCATGACCCTCTTGTGTTGGGGCACCAGCACTGGAGCTGGTGAATCTTAATTTACCTACGTGACTTGGCCATAAGAAAAATTCCTTCCATAAAATGCACTAGCAGCCATCAGTTGCCCCACCTATTGGAGGCAAGTGAGAGGTGAAAATGAAGCCAAATAAGACTGCAGCAGTAGTAATTACCTAGGTGCTTGTTTAACCATGCAGCAAGTAATGAAATCAGGGACTGTAGTGTCACATCAACTGCATTACCTCATTTTCTTCTCTTGCAGACACAGGGAGGTTAAAAATAATGAGCCTGTCTGCCTCTCCCCATACCCCTGAGCACACTGAATCACAAGCACCTTCTTTCTAAAACAAATTTATTTCTTGCTGCCTCCTTCCCAACAAAGACTTGCCTTTGATGAATACCAGACTTCCAGCATATTTGTCAAAGTGGTGCACCTGTGAGGGTTCCAGGGCAAGATAAATTTTGGCAGGCCGAGGGAGTAGAGGGAGGTACTAGGCAAGGAATAAATCTTTGTGTGTTACGACAGGCTGCGAATGAGCGTTCTCCTCCTAAGAATCGCCCCTCTGACAAGTTATGATAAATTACACTCTTTGTTGACACCTTCATCGTGTTATTTATGGCTCGTTAATTGAACCGAAAAGGAGACTTGTAGCGCAGCAGGGGTATTGTACAATACTTTTCCAGTAGGTTGGAACTGAAATCAGAGAACAAAAAAGGGGGAGAAAAAGGTAAAGTAATATATTCATGTGCATACTCTTCACTGAAAACACCTAGCTGCTCTGCGATACCAGTGCAGAACTCTAGCAAGTGCTCTCAGTGTTCTCAGAAGCATTCCTTTCTGTCCTCCTGCATGTCCCAGTAGGAGTGTGTTTGTCTTTTGCTTTCATCTTGAATTCTTGTATCTGTGCTACTCTGTGCATTGCTGAAGCATGGGATTATTGGCCGCATATGAAGGCAAGCATCCAGCCTGTCTTTCTGGACTTGACCATCCCTCACTTGTGTAACAGCAGTCTTCCCTGATCTTTCCTAGTACCCAGAGTGAGATTCTGACATGAGAGTTGGCATAAAAGAAGGATGCTGATGTGACACTGAAGAAGTGTTAACGTTTCTGTGCCAACACAAAATGCTGGTTTTTGAGGCAATGTATGCCTGATTCAGAGATGTACTCATTTGGGGAACTTTTGGGGATCCCAGTGCTCTGCCACTGGTAAAGGCTAGGTCTTCTGACCAAACATCCTATTGTGGTGGTATGGGTGGGCATTTTCTCTGAGAAGTAGTACTGTAAACAGGAAGGGGAGAGGTACAGGATCTGAGCGGGTGGCTGTCTACACTTGTTATGCAAGAGGCATCCACAGAAAACGTAGTTGAAAGGCATTGTGGGGGGTGATAAAAGAAAGAACAAAATCTTCTTCAGTAGATAGTGCCTGACCACCCTTTCAGTGAAGAATTTGTTCCTAATATCCAGTCTAAACCTCCCCTGTCACAGCTTGAGGCCGTTTCCTCTTGTCCCATCCCTTGGTTCCTTGGGAGCAGAGCCCAGCCCCTCCTGGCTCCATCCTCCTGTCAGGCACTTGTAGGGAGCAGTAGGGTCCTCCATGAGCCTTCTCCAGACTGAACCCCCCAGGTCCCTCAGCTGTTCCCCATCACACTTGTGTTCCAGGCACTGCACCAGCTCCCTTGCCCTTCTCTGGCACCTCAATGTCTCTCTTGTAGTGAGGGGCACAGAACTGGACACAGGATTCGAGGTGCAGCCTCACCAGTGCCAGTACAGGGGAATGATCACTGCCCTGCCCTGCTGCCACACTGGTGCTGACACAGGCCAGGATGCTGTTGGCTTCTTGGCTGCTGCATGCACACTGCTTTTGTTTCCCTCACTCCTGTTTCTACATTCCTAGGAACAGAGTTAACGCCGCGCCGTAGCCCCGTGAGCATGGAGGCAGCGGGAATGCCCCATGGTGTTTGTTACCTGCGGGACCCTTCCCTGCACGCTCGGTCCGGCTGTACCAGCGCGGGGCTCTCCCCGTGCGGGGCCGGGGCCCTAATGGCGGCCGCGCGGGGCTGCCGGCTGCGCGAGCCGGTCTTCCCGCCACTGCGAGCTGCCTCTCGCGTGCTGAGGGGAGCCCTGAGGGGGTGAGGGGGGCGGCCCGCTCCGCCCTGCCCTGCCCTGCCCCGCTCCGCACCGCTGCCGTGCCGCTAGCGGGGTTTGCCTCCTGCCTGCTCCTCGTCTGCATGTGGAGCCGCTTCGGCTTCCCTCCCACCGGCGGCTACATGGCAGAGAAACAGTGCTGCTGCGGTGCACTTGTGTGAGGGGTTAGTTCCTGTCTGCAGGTCTGCCTGGCAGTGGGTGCTGCGGCTTCTTCATTCCCCTGTAGGTTTTAAATTCTTTTGTTTGTGGGGGGAAAATACAATTGTGGTTGTAATCATAACAAATACGAACTTCGGGGGCGTGGGGGGTGATGTTGTTTTGGTGTAGAGAACAGGAACATAAAGAGGAGGAGAGAACTGGACCCAAAATGTAAGATCCTTCACTGTTTCAGGTGGCCATCCAACCCCACGGTAAAAGGCAGCAATCTCCGTTGGTAACTTTTCTGTGCCTAATTCCCAATAGGAACACGATAGCCAGCAGAGCTCCTGAGGCAAGAGGGGTTTGGTTTATCAGCTGATTGGTTTCTAGGGTCCTTCCCCTACCCTGGTCCCCAAACCACTCCCCAGCAAGGGAAAACCCTGAGGTAAAACCTGAGCATACCAATATGTGTGGGCTTCCTGCCCTCTAGAGCAGTAGTTCCAAGCCAGATAGCTTTGATGTTTAACTGTTGACCATTGTTGTTAGTTGTGTTCTGAACTGAAATGTAATCTGGTAAACTGTCTGCTCAAGGATCTCTCTGGTACTGGAAAACATCCTGCCACCTTCATGCTCACTGCCATTCTTCTATCTTAAACGTGACTGTTGTATGTAGCCCTTTTTCTGTGCTTCACACTCTAGGCTGTATTGTCAAAATGTTGGTAGTTACTTTTGGAGCAAGGAAATGGATCCTCACAGGTTGAGTGTGAGCAAGGAGAGGGAAAAGTCTGAGAGAAATAAAGCAAGTAAGAAAATGAAGCTTGCTGTGAACAACTTCGAACCATCAGTTTGAAACCAGCTGTAACTAGCACCAGTTGTACTGAACTCTAGGGCAGAGCCACCTCCAGTACAGCACCCTGTTCCCCTGTATCCCTCCTTTGGTTGGGAGCTTGGTGCGTAGCAAGCTTTGTCACTTTGTAATTGCGTCCTTCCTGTAGCATTTCCTTCCCAGGCGGCTGGCTTTCTTTTTCAGTCACAAGGATAGGGGATTTATGGGGTTTTTGTAGTACCAAAAAATAGAGCATTACAATATTTTTCAAATACTGTATACTGACAGATAATCTTTCCCACTTCTTAGTTTTTTTAATTAAGGACTATTTGTAATAATGTGGGCCACATTGCTCCTTCAGTCTCCTCTGGTTGTCAGTTTTCCAGGATTTTGACTAAGTAGGTGTAAGAAATTTAGGCTCTTTGACTGCAGCCATCGGTTTACATTTGCCGTGTGTCATGGTGAGTATGGTAGAATATCTGTACGTGATGAGGAGCTGTAGTGAAATAATTCTAGTTTGATACTGTATTTGAGTTTTATTCTTTACTGTTGGTGGGACTGGAAGTTCACACAGGTGAACTTGTCTCTGTCCCTGACAGGCATAATTTGAAAAATACTTTTTTGGCTTTTTTGGTCATGATTTTTCTTGTTCAATCTTTCACTTCCTTGAGATAGGTAATAAACTTCCCTTTTTTATTTTTATTGGTCATGTTATTGGCACATTTGGTTTGATACTCGGCATATTTGCATGTGCTCATTGCTTCATTTCCAGATGTTGATACAAAGGCTTAACCATCACAGCATGCGAAGACAGCACCATCTCTTGGGCTTCAAATACTGTAACCATGTGAGTAGGCTTCCCTGAATTAATTCTCTCAAATGAGACCATGAACTGAAGATAACTCAGGAAACAGTTTACAGAATTTATGTAGCCTGACAGGCTTTTAATTCCTAGACCACTTATAAATAAATGAGGCAGATACAGCCAGTGACATGTTCACGATCTCAGCTATTGAAGCTGCTTTTTTCCACAGGCTTAAGCAGCTACAGCTGCTTTCTTGTGTCTGTGACACTAGTAGGAACTAAGTACTGTGTAGTAATGAATATACCAGAAAGAAGGGAGTAGCACTGGTGTCTGTCCTAAAATTGAATAATAGATTTAAATAGGTTTAAAATACAAATTTACATATTTTCTTTATCCACCAAAATTCTTCAGTGGAGGGTAACATTTGAAGAGTTGTGTCATCCTTGATAGCAGATAGGAGAGGGCAGGATCAGCAGCTGTAATCAGCTCATGGGAGGTAAGTGCCACCCACACCAAAAAATGTTGGCTTCGGTCTCTGGCTTTCTGCACTTTTGTTTCTTGTCAATTGCAAGGCTAAAGGAGGAGGGAAAAACAACCTCCAAGTCAGTCTTACATAATGCTTTGTTTTGCAAGGCTTCTACTAATCATGTCAATACCAAGCCTTTAGATTTTGGTAATTACATTGGAAATGCCCAGTTTGTACATAGTAATTCCAACTATAATTACTATGAAATTATATAACTACAAATTACCCTGTCATGTGGATGGCCTAAATAAGCATGTACAGTACCTGCTCTGTGATAACAAATTAGAATTACATGGTTGGTTAACTAGCGGTAATATGAGATTTTTGAAGTGGCCAACCAAGCTGGCTAGCAATGTGGGGAGAAAGTGGAGGGGGGAGAGGGGAAGGGCGGGTCCTGATGCTTGGTTATTTCCAAATAATAGAATATTTATTTCCTGATACATCTTTATAGGGAAATAAAAAAAAAAAAATATCTGACTTGGGGCTTGTTTTTAATAGGCATTTGTATTGTATTGAATCATCTGCTTGGTCACTGCCAGCTGCTCTGTGTGTGTTCGCCTGGGCGCCTGCTATTGCTTGTGGGACACTGCATGTTTGATTCAGTTTTTATTTAGTGGTTTTTAACTGAATGTGTTAGAAAACAATTGCTTTGCCTTTTATTTTTATCAAAGAACATTTTATCCTTTTGCAACAAAAAAAAAGGGTTGATAAAGACAAGAGATGGAGAGGTTATACACAGGTGGTACCTTTTCCTTGTGTTAGTTCTTATTTGAGGAAGGGAAAAATCATGTCTGAGAGTCATATACATCACAAAACAGGCAGTTGATGGTGTCAGTGTCCCCCTTCAAAACATCCATACTGTAATTCTTTCTCACAGACAAAATAGAAATAATATTGATCTTTCTTATTTGCACTGACTCCCTCCCTTGGCACAAGGGGAAGAAAGGCATGCCTAAAAGCCAGAATGGGTAATACTGAGTCATTTGAAAGCCTTCCTCATAGAACTGCGGCACCTCAAAAGACAGCCTATGAAAGTGGACTCGTGCTTCATATATGAAGGAACTTTGGTCTTACTAATGGTCTTCCTTTATTATGGCAGCAGTGGTGCAACCTCCACAAACACAAAATTGGCGATACCTATAGTTTCCTGCTTCAGGAGTGGTGCTGTACCTTGTGTAGTCACACAGAAACAACCATACCATTGAAAATGGCTTTTACATCTCAGTAGGCGAGATCTGGAGAGAAGTGAGAGAACAAACCCTCCAGATTAGAGGGGCACTCTCGGGGAGGAAATGGGATGGAAAATCCGGATGCTCAGTTTCGTTTTTGCGGCAGGCCGATGGCGGTGTCACTAACGCCCACCGGGTGGCAGCACGCAGGAGTTGAGTTCCTTGCCAGGCCGTGGGTCTTGAGCTGCGTTTGCTATAGAAAAGAATGAATCGCTGCAGTCAGAACGCGTTGAATATAGATTTTATTGTCCGGTCCTGGTTTTGAAACCGGTGTGTTTAATACGCTTGCTTCATTTGTATTTCATTGTTATTAATCTCGGAGAGTATAGTAATCTGACCACGGAAAAGACTGTCACTCAGGACCTAAAGGTTTTTTATAGAAGCTTAGAACATCCTCCTCTTCTAGTGGTAATTAGATCATCATGCTAAGGTCCTGACATCCATTATTTTCATCTGTAAGAGTCACCACAGAGCAATGCATATCTGAGAATGAAATGTTTATCACATTTCACCTGCAAAAGCTGAGCTTTCTCTGACTGACTTTGAATTAATTTTCATGACTTGATTTGTGGTTTCTTTGGTGTACCCCTAAATAAATTAGGTTATCACCTACATGAAAGGGAAAAATCTCAACGAGATTTCCAACCTCAGCTCTTTGCTCTTATCTAAGTTTTCTTCTGTATTTCTTACTGAGTCTCTTGCTTATCTGGTGTCCTCTCTTCTGAACAATGCATGTTTATAGAAGCAAGTAGTTTGCTTACATGCAGTTGCAACTCTAATGCATGGCTTCAATTTATTTCTGACAGCCTCATTAGTCAGTAGCAGTGACAGACAAAAACTAGTTGCAACAAGGTTAACCAGTATCCCCCCAGATTAGAAGTGTGCCCTAGACTGATTTTTGGTTGTCTTTGCTGTCCAAATCCAGAGTTTGATAGACATTCCTTTGGGTTGGTGTTTCAGTTGCATATGGACTGGTCTTTTTGTTTCAGATGTGAATTGTGCTGCATGCAAACATGTATTTGTTACAAATAGGAAAACAGGAATTGTAAGCGTGGAAATTATTCAGTTATCTTTTTCTTGTTTGTTGTCAATCTTCTGCTTTTCTTACAGCTAGGTCCCCTATGTTGGGTATTTTTCTGTCATTGATTTAAATACTGTGCTAACCAGTAGGAAGTCTCCAGAGACTCATGCTGGGAATATGTTTTAAACAAACATCCTTTAGGGTGTGAATAAACATGATGATCAGGTATATTCCAAATTGCATAGGGACTCTGGCTAGCATGCAGTGTTTATGAGCATAAATAATTATAATGAAAAGTTTTCCATTCTCAAATTGTCCTTTTTCTCTTCTTTGTGTCATCTCTGAAGAATCCATCTTTCAGAAGGTGCTGACTGGGAACTTACTGGCAGAGCAGTTTCTCATGACTGTTGTTTGTTAATAGGAACGTCTCAGAAAGCGTCAGTGAGAGTTTGTGGTAATTTTGGTTGCAGCTAATACAGATAATTCTACAATGAGCCGTTTTGTTTAGCTGGTGAGGTGTTTAAACTCTCAGTAAGGTCAGTGATTGAATTTAGGTAATTTCAACTTTAAAAAACCCTGCATAATTACTTAGATTATTTAAGATATCAGAAAAATGTTTTCAGACAGGTCAGTCTATTGCAGAGCGCTTGTTTGATTACCTGAGCTACACTCAAAGCTGTTAAGAGATGGGGTGAAAAGGTAATTGGTTAATGGGGTTTTAATCTGGAAGAGGGTGGGATTGTTTTCATCACTTACTAGTTTTGAATTATTTTTGTACAAAAATAACTGTTAATTTAGGTATCTGCTGATGTGATGTGTTTATGTAAAAAACATATGTAAAAGTGAGAATTTTTCTTCTACAAAATCAGTTGTGTGCCTCTTACCAGGGGAAGATTTCTGTGCAAACATATCTTTGTTCACCGAATATGTTTTTAGGACACATGCTTTTAGTCACATTTGCTCAAATTGAAGGACTTTGCTGTTGGTGCTTCTGAAATCAAGAGAATTCCTTCTGAGAGAACCGGGTTACTTGTTTAAGGCTGCAATAATTTGTGTTATTGTCATCTGAAGGAGTTGGTTGAACTCTCTTTGGTCTTCATATTATATTCTTCCAAACTGGCAGCACAGTTTCCCCTCCACAAAGTTCACGTTTCAGTATCTGGAAGTATACTACATTTACTTGCTATCCCAAAACTTTACTCATACAAATTTAATAGAAAGCTGCTTACATCATGGAACTCTGTAAATACCTGTACAAAACACCTGTGACTTAGTCCCAGTGTAATCCAGGCGCATAAAATGTGTTTGCCACTGACGTAGTACTTCCCATTTGGGTTGTATTCAGCGTGGTCTAGTAGTTCTTTCTATAACTTTAGTGCATTAGCAGTCCCATTAACACAAATAATTTTATTCTTATTTAACATAGTTTCTTATTTTTGAGCATAAATAGCTCACCAAAGCTAGAAAGTTACCTGGTCCATTTGAAATTTAATAAACTCAGATAATAAAATCATAAATTAGGTATGAATGGGGAGCCTAGTAAATGAGAACAGAATTAGAAACAATGATACTTCAGAACACTTCAGTTGGTGTCTATCGGGACTGATTCTGTCCAGCTTTCTGTGGAATGGAACGGTTTGTCTGATAGACATATTATGATCCTTGACAATTTTGCACTGTACACCGTGCCAAAACCATTAATCTCTCATGTTCCTGCTGGATAAGTATAAACAGCAAGCAGCTGGCGTTTTTACACTTTGCAAACTGGTATAGAGTCTGAGGGTTACTACCTGACAGAACTCTTGTAAAAAGCTTGTAAAATAGCAAAATGCATGTAACTGTCACAGGAAGAATAACCAGTTTCTGGCAACGCTTACATTGTTTCTGCAGTACTGATACTTTCCATGCGCCTCATTTGTTGCTGTTTTACACAGACAGTGATAACACTGTATTAGTGCTTCTAAGAGTTGCATTTTTTCTGGTTGTCTCTGTGACTGTCAGTTTGATATTCTGCTGTGTTTTTAAAAGCAGCTGAAAGAGTTAAGAATGTCTGTATGTCTAAATACCCATAATTTGCTATTCTCTTAGCATAGTACATCCGTGGTGTGAAGGCTGGCATGACTAGGTTCATACCTTTGATAGATAATAAGTAATGAATGCTTCTCCCAGCTGAGAAGATTTATAAATGCATGCGAGTTTTTGTTCTGTATTTATATACTGAACCTTGTTTTTTCAGAACTCACTAATGATTTGGATGTAATTGAGGATTTTATTGAGATTCTTAAAAAAAAAAAAGAGTTGAGGATTCATGTAAATATCACCTGCTGATTTTTTTGAAGTTACTTATTTAGTTTCATACGATGTGGCTTCGCTTTGAATTTGTGTGCGTTCTTATTTGGGTTCTTTTCTAATTCCTGTTCTTTCAATGCACATGGTTCTTTCTGCTGATCCCTGCTTACAACCAGACCTAACTACAACTACCAGTATCCTGAGCTAGTCTGCTGGTTGAGTTAGAGTAGAAATGCCACTTTTGTTCTGACAAGTAACTAGACCATTTGTCAAAGAGCGTTGTCATGCAGGCACAGTGCCTAAGCTAGTGAGACTGAGAATGGTCTCAGCTTACTGTAGCATTATGAGGTGTACTAGAAGTCATAGCAGGACAAAAGGCTTTGCAGTTTCTGTAGAGAGGCACACAGGAACCTGGGGGGGTTTTCTGAGGT